TAAGCATTATAAGAAAGTCGATTGGGAATGCCATATGTCAAAAAAATGGTTAGTAGTTGCTCTATCATTTTCTTGATAGAAGTGGAAACCATTAAACTCACAAGATAGGTGTTGAATGTTGATGGCTTATAAATATTATGTGTTGATAGGTGTTAAATGTTAGTTGTTGAAAAATCTAAGAAATCTGATAATGATAAATGATCAACTAGGTCATTCTCCTAATTAGAGATTAGATCAAGAAACCAAAAGCAAGGGATTTGAACATTAATAATATATAGGCATTGGACACCATTCATTTCAAATTGGTGGGCGATGGTCAAGGATAAATGTTAAAGATTAGGCAATGAAAAATATCACCTTCATCATTCTTTTAAAAGAAGACTAATTGAGGTGACTAAAAAGCTGTACATTGAATGTTAATGACTGAGAGGTGTTAAATGTCAATTATTAATAGTTGACAGATGATGGTCTATTGCAAATGTAGAAAGCCCGTTGATATGTGGAAGTTGACTTAGGCTTCGTTTGGGACGACTTTTTTATTGCTTTCTAAAACGGAGTTTTAGTACAATTTTTTTTAATTTTGTACTAAAACTCCATTTTAGAAAGCAATAAAAAAGCCGTCCCAAACGAAACCTTAGTTAATAAGAGATAGTATGTAGATGAGAACATTGAAAGTTGGACAATAGTCAATGATTTAATTGATCTTTTTTTAATATGATGGGAGTGATGGTATCATCATAGGGAAGATGTGAGTTGAAAATTAATGACTAATGGACATTATGCACTAGTTGGATGTCATGTGATGGCATCGATGATGAGTATTAATGTTAGTTTATAGTTGGTGTCAGACAATGATGATAATGACTGTTGATGTTCGATGTCTGGTGGTGGCAAGCAAACCTTTGAAATTCTAGGAGTCTCAAATTTTTCCACCAATGTCCTCTAATGAATGTGTACAAGTTGCTTTTGTTCGTAGATTTATGGAAAAGCCATTCTAGTTATTTGAAGAAAAAAATTAATGATCCAAAGAGACCATTTGATATTTTTTTGACATCTTAACTCCTTGATTATCATGAAATAGATCAATCTTAAGTCATAAGATTCCTAACATTGAGACACTACATTTGGCTATAAGATAAAAAAATAAGATGGTGGCCAACAAACAATAATCAAGAGATGATAGTTGGGCAATATTGATCGAGGGATAGCAGTCGAGCGATGATCCGATGACAATGGTCTGATTGTGATGCTCTAATGCATAATTCTTTGCCTCTACGCCAAAGTCCCCGTCATGTATTGAGAGATTTTTATAGCGACATTTTGATAAATTTGGCAAAAATATGAAGCATTCATTTGAACGACCTATATTGATTATCTTGGTCATAGATCTTTCTTTCAATATATAAGTATATTAATGGTGTTAAAATTAAACAATCTTGGGCTCCTTTGGCTTTTTATCATTGAGATGCACAATTTGAATATAAATATGCAAGATATAGAGATTATTTGGTCATCCAATTAACATCTTAAAGTTTTCTTATACTTCAATTGATTGATCGGGCTTATCATACTCAAATCAAACCACTTTTGTGTTATAAATATGTTGAAACTTGCGTTCATATGGCTGGTAGACTGCAATCGACAGCCGACAACCGTGGTGGCGATGGTGGTGGTGTTGGCCTGCAACCGGTGGCCGAGCTAGGATGGGGGGGTGGCGGCCGCGACGATGGTCAACAGCTGGAGGCTAGGTGAAGGTGGCAGCCGATGGCAATAAAGGGTGGCAGTTGACAGCAATCAAACAAGCTTATTTGTGATGTAAAATGTTCTCGCTTGAAATTGGCCAAATTTGATTACCTCAAAAATGAATTAAAATTATTTACATTACATTTACTTTATTTTACTTTAAATTCCTTTTTCATCCCATCAATAACAAATGGCCAAAAATGAAAACTACTATATTTAAAAAATCTTTATACCTTAAAATATTTCAACCGAAAGCCCCTAAAATAGAGATTGCCACAAATCGAGCATAAAAAAGGAAAAGGACGCATAAAAAAATGCGTAAGTACAATAATGCAAAGATCAAGCTGACCCACCATCGGCTGCCTTCCTCTCATCAGTTAGCGTCAATACAGTTGTCGAACGCTACTATTTCCACAAACCTACTTCACAGATTTAAAAATTATAATTAAGATTAATTACCGGCTAATTGCCCAACTAAGCATTATATTTACTTTGCATTATCTTGTCAAGCTGACTTATTGGTGGATGGTTTTGCGTAAACTAATAAGACTAGGCCAATTATTGCTTCCTAACGTCATAAATTCAGAAGCAATAATTTTAGTCAAACCCTTGCGAATCATGTGCTTCTTTTAATAGTATGTTACAATAATTAGCATAAAAGATTTAAGAAATAAAATATAGAGAATTATCTTTTTTTGTATCTTTTTGGGGACATCTTTCTCACTGATTTGATTTCAAATCAGAACCACAACTTCGTTTAGTTATTATTTTCTTATTATTTTCTCGTTGTTTTTTTTTTTTTTTAATTCTCAAGTTTTCTGCTTTTTAAGAGAATAACAGCAATGATCATATTCAATCGTCCACCTATTTTAGATATTTCAATTTAGAAGAATGATTATTTCAATCATATGATATATACCTCTAACATCTCTTTGTTGTTATTCCATAGATGTATGAATTCATCAATCTTTAATGACCTTTGCAACCTTCTCAGGCAACCTCCTATTCATCACATGAAAGTTATGTTGTAATCCCATCACAAGAAGAAGACTAATGTGTTTATATATGTCCGTCTCACCAATCTCATTTTATCACTAACATCGATAATACTTGTAATATTTCAACTTAAGTTACATCGTATTAGTACCTTTGCCAAGTTTAGAGAAAGGTGCCTCATTATAACACAGATCTTCTACTAATTAAGATTATGTGCAAATCATTCTTTAAAATCGCATAAAAATCTCGATCTATCAACACCATACCTTAACACGCAATACTATTAACTAACATTTTAAAGAAAAATATGGCTACTAATATAATATTTAATATATTTTTAAAAAATTATAGGTAAAAATTCATAATATGAAGCAAAAAAAAAATTTTGTATGTTGAACTATCAAAAAGCATGTATCATGTGCCATTTCTTTTAATTCTCTCTTTTTGTTTCTCCATTCTAATATAAAAACTCTCCTCCACACATTTTATAGCACTCTTTATGAAAGCTTTATATCTTCTAAATCAACGTCAGATAGGGCAACTCGTTTTGCATGACATGTTAATGTTCATCCCTTCCGTCTTAGGTTGGAACTTTTCTATATAGATTTTTCACAGCTAGTTGCCAATCGAAATGGGAGGTTCAAAAGATTAATAGTCGCTATCAAGGTATCAGTTAATCAATTACTTATGCCCACCACAATTAGAAAACATAATTATGTTAGTCATTAAGATTTTGTTTGAAACGGTTTTTTTACTGTTTCTTAAAGCTGCTTTTTAGTATCAAATTTTTAATTTTTGTACTATAAAGTTGTTTTACGAAGCAGTAAAAAAGTCTCCCAAATGAAACCGGAGTGTTTTTCAAATTACGATAAAAGTAGCATTTTTGCCATTATTAGAATAATTCAACCTCAGTTATTAATTAAGTATTATTTACATTAATTCTATATACGGACTTGAGAAGAGCTGAAGATAGGCAATTGTCTATCGAATATATGTTTTAATTATCTCGCCCTCTCACAAGGGCATACAAATCTCAATATGGTTTTGTTTATCCTAATAAAAAGAGATTGATTCAGCCTAAACCCAGGGGTGTCAAAATGGATTAAAAGGTTGGGTTCGGGTTTGACTCGAATCCAGTCAAATGAATCAAACACATTTGATGAAATGAGTAAAAAATGTGGACCCAAACCGCCCTACTAGCTACCCAATTAACCCAAACCCGACCTAATAAACTATTTTGAATAAAAAAAAATTATAATTTGTTAAGAAAAAAATTTAGATTAATTGATCAAAAATAAAAAGATTGTATCAATGAATAAAACTGAAGGAAAAATATTAAACGATGTGTTTTGGGGTCAAAATCAAGTTGTCTGGTCAACCCAATCGTGAACTTCGATCTCGGCCCATTTATTTAACAGATCAACCTGAATCATATTTTTTAGATCGGGTCCAAACCTGATTAGTGGGTCGGGTCAATTATTGCACCTATAATTCAATCTTTCACAACAATCTTTTAAATTGCGACTCAAATTTGAGAATTCTTAACAGTTAAAAATGTATGAATTAATATTGCTTGAATTTCTAATATTATACCTTTAGTTTATAAATATAAGGGAAGCTTGGTTTTACCCTATGGTAACCATATCTCATAGATTAATTTGGAAGAAAACTTAGATAAGAAACTCTTGATACTAAATATTATAAAAAGTGGAAGATAAATGACAATATACATTTTCTAAATGTTAATGAGTAAATATCCAAAAAAAACAAAATCATTTTTTTTTTTTTTTTGGAACGGGGGTATCTACCAGCTGCCACCTCTCGAAAGAGGTGCTTGACGGCGTAACTAATCCCTCAGCAAGTCTACCAGCAACCAACCCCACAGGTACAGGACCCACAGTTATTTTCTCCCCCGAAGAAGTCGTGCCATATGAGGGATAACTATGGGTATCTACCCGCTGCCACCTCTCGAAAGAGGCGCTTGGCGGCGTAACTAATCCCTCGGCAAGTCTACCAGCAACCAACCCCACAGGTACAGGACCCACAGTTATTTTCTCCCCCGAAGAAGTCGTGCCGTATGAGGGAGGATTCGAACTTAATTGGGATGGAGGGTTCCCAATCAACCTCGCACACCAACTCACCTAAGCCCGGTGCGGTAAAAAAGAAAAACATATTATAATTTTTAAATAGTGTTGAAAAATGATATTTCTCAACTTCACCCTCTCTCTCTCCTCTATAAGTAGAGCTCTTTCATACTTCACCTTCCATCCTCCTCTGCTCTCCACACTTCCTCCCTTCTTAACTAAGAGGCTAAATTATGCTGAACCCTACACTTCATACAAGAAGCCTCTCTTCCTCTTTCTCCTCCCTTTGCCTAAACAGCTGGCAATGGCAACCATTATCAGCTCCAATGGCGAAATCCCTCTCCTTCTTAGCTCCTGCAACCTCTGCCGGCGGCAAAAAAGCTCAGAGAAGAAGCGGCGGAATCCGATGTTCGTCTGAGGCGGCCGACGAGGCTCAGGTTTCTCTGCTCACGAAGGCTAAGATCCCTACAAAGCTGAAGGCAGTGGTGACTGTCAATTTAACAATTGGGGGGATTTTTTCGCATGTTGGCATGACCCGTGGGCTTGATGACTTTGCAGATCTGATGGGCAGGAGCCTCTACCTTGAACTTCTGAGCAAGGAGATTGATCCGAGTAAGTTATTGATGAGAATATATTACAAGTGATTAATTAACAAATAAATAAAGAACTGGATGAGCTTAAAAATGATTAGATTAGCTTTAATATTAATATAATATAAAATTTTATGTATATTTATAGCAATAATATTATAGCGAAACAAATAATTTTTTTAATCATCTTGATATAATTTGTATAAAAATATCATGATATAATTTTTTTTTATTAACAGCTTTCTAGTATAAAATTATTTAAATAAAAAAATTTTGTACAAAAAAATTGCTTTAGAAATTAGTAAGAAAAATGTCTCAAACAAAATATAAGGCTTAGTTTGAGACAGCTTTTTTACTGATTCTTAAGAAGCAGTAAGAAAACTGTCTCAAACAAAATCTAAGGCTTCGTTTGGGGTGGCTTTTTTACTGCTTCTTAAAGTTGATTTCTAATGCAAAAATTTTAATTTTTATACTAAAAAGTCGATTTAAGAAGCCTTAAGAAAATCATCCCAAACAAAGTATAAATCAAAGCTGACATGACAAAAAACATTCAAGTCAATATTGGGCTAGTTTTAACCAAGCCGATTAGAAAGGGGCATGCTTATCTGATTTGAAAACAAAAATAAAAATAAAAATTAGAATTTAAAATTATAATTTTTATGAAGAATTTCTTAAGAAAAATTAAATAAATGGCTCAAACTTGACCCGACCTTTCTTGAGTCATTTATATTGGTCTAAATCTTACCTAATATTGGGTATCATATTGTCCAAACATGTTAAAATCTGATTATACAAAGAGCAATAAGAAAAATTAGATCAAAATATTCAAATCAAAATTCAGTGAGTAAGAATTTTAAAATTTAAAATTTATTTTCAGCAATTAACTATTTTATTGCATAAATCTTAAATTAAGTCTCGAGATTTTAAAAGCAATTAGAACTAAATGATGATAAGAGTACTTTCGCCTAATTTTTTGAAATACTCATTATGTTGAAAAGGGTGATCATTTATGTCAGTGTAATAAATGCTTATCTATAAATATTTGATAGCTTTCCTTTTATATCCTCCGTCCAATGATGGTACCAACATATCCACATTCCAAAATTTATCATACAACCACTTCCAAAAAGTTACTAGTTTTTATATCCATTTAGGGCTACTTAATTATAAAAGAAATATAATATATTTAAAATATTTAAAATTTATTTAGCTCAGTGTAAAATAACTACATATATTATTTTATTTAAAGTAAAATAAATATAATATACATCACAATCATGATATTGATCAGTGATCAATAACGATGGAGAGCGTTGATAGCGACAATGAAAACTGCAACGCGAGCAACTGGGGCAACGAGTTATGGCAGTGGGTGTTAGGAGGTAGTGAAGACAACTGAGTCAATTATGTTGATTTTGATGAAATCAATCCCAAAATTTTCAATCATCTTGAATATTTATTATGTGATTTTTTTTTTTTTTTTGCTTTCTATAATAGTTTTATAATATAAATCTTTTTACTTAAAAGACGTTTTAGAAAGCAGTAAGATCTTTAAATATTTTTTTAGTTAAAAAATTTAGTTAAAAATTTTTTAAATTAATATTTTTTACTAAAAAATACTAAGAAAAATATACTTGCCATCATCATTATAAATGCTAAAGATCGGAATCCAGTAGTTTAAAAGATCATGTTGACTCATCAATTTATCTCTATCAAACTAATTAATGAGAACAAATCTTTTATTTTATTTTATTTTTGGGAAAATTGAACAAATCATATTTAAATTTATCATTTTTCTTTTGCACTCACATGTGAAATAAAAAAAGATGACTCTATAATAATAATAATAATTTAAATATATATATTTTTTAATTTTTTAGAGTGAAATTGTAAAGCGTTATTGTATCGTACTCTTTAATTGTATATATGCTATTTCATATAAAAAAATTATTTTATTGATTCATGGCCGGTGTGCGTTCGATGAGTTCTCAATAGATGGAACTTTTATTACATCCAGTAAACGTACGCTCCTCTACGTTCGGTTTAGGCAAAAAAGCGCCTGTACCGAGTTTTTTCAAAAAACTCGGTACAACTCGGTACTCGGTACTCGGTACAGACGTTTTTTTTTTTGCCTAAACCGAACGTAGAAGAGCGTACGTTCACTGGATAAAATAAAAGTTCCAATAGATGGGACTTGTGGCCCCACCCACTAGCGTTGTTGTGATATTTTGAAGAGCGTGTGTTGGAGGGGATCTCAAAATATAATAATAACAATAATAATAATAAGTAATAACATCTTTAAAACATGTAATAAAAGTCTAACTATATATCATATATTTTTTTTATTTAAGTGTTTAAATTTAAATTTAGCTAATTGTCATTCAAAGAACTTTTTAATTACTTTTTAAAGCAATTTTTTAATTCAAAGAACTTTTATATTAAAGAACTTTTTTAAAAATTAATAAGAAAAATGTCATAAACAAAGCCTAAATTATACTAATTGGCATTCACAATAAACTTTAGCTTATTCAACTATGTTGTATACATGTTTTCTTAGAGACTGGATCGGAGAAGAAGCCAGTAGGAGTATATGCTCATAAAATAGGCCATAATGCAACGGAAGCCAAGTATGAAGGCGAGTTCACGATTCCTCAAGATTTTGGTGGGATTGGAGCGATCCTTGTGACAAATGAGCATCATAAGGAGATACGCCTCAAAGATATTGTCCTTACGACGGATGACGATGAGGCTTCTTCCTTTACAATAGATTGTCAATCATGGGTGCACTCCAAATTTGACAATCATGACAAGAGAATTTTCTTCACAAGCAAGGTGATAATTGCAATTAATTCTTTATTTTTGCATATATTTTTCTCTTCAAAGTCTTATAATGTTCATGATAATATATTCTTTATTAATAATTTTATAATTAAGGGTGTCAAAATAAGCTAATGGTTTGCGTTTTAGATAAATTGATAAAAAAAAAAGAAAATTACATAAACAAACAAATAATTAAAAAAAAATAAGCAAGTCATTTTTAAATCAAAATCAGGTCAAACTGAACCTAACATATTTAATTAACGAGATAGAATTTCAAACTCAGATCAAACTAACTCATTTGTTAAACGGGTCCATTTGAATCCAAAATTTTCTAATCAAAATTGATTTTTTTTTACACCCTTTTTATAATTTTATAATTCTAGATATACAAATCCCTCCCATTAAATCTTATTAATTGCATATCAAAGACCTACTTCATGTAGATATATATATGATAAGTTCCCACTCCTGTCCTACGCTATAGTTGTTCTTGTCCTAAGCTATAGTTGTTAGCATCTGGTCCTTCTCAATTATAAGGGAGAGCTTCTGCCAGGAACACGTTCTTTTATTTAATAATATCTGCAGATCTACGTGCGGCCTTCACATGCTTGATGAGTCACGGCAGTAATACCGAACGGTGCCTAATAGTACCGAGCCATGATAACGACATGACTCATTCTGATTGATCTCCGAATAACGTTCAACATTTACTACAACAAGCACATAGCAGAAAAATCCTTCGTATGATCGACCTGTCCCTATAAACACACATCAGCTAAAATAAGCTGCATAGCGTTCTTTAATGTTATATATAAAATTACTAGATTCTTCTAATATTATTATTTTATGTTAAAAAAATAAAAAATCCTATATATCAACCTTCTGCTATGTGGCAAGTTTTTATTGGTACTGCAAGCAGTAGATTATCTCAATTTATAGGGACTTAGCTATCACGGGTTTCACGCCCTTGAAAATTATTATTATATTATTCATGAATTACAGTAATAATTTGAAACTTATGTTCTTTTTTTTTTATTTTTTTAAAGTCGACCACTATCATCTCATATAATTGTGATGCACCTACTCTTATAAAATATAATCCTAATTATTTGATGCTGACTTATGTTAAAAACTTAAAATAACTAAATATTAAATTTTAGTTTATTTACTCAAAATATTTTATAAAAAATTATAAAATATCTGGAATGTCAAAATATTTAAAAATAAAATAACATCTATTATATAATTTAATATTTTTATGGATCACTTATACGATTTTTTACAATTAATGATTTCATTTATTTCCTTACATATCATTGCATGATTGCTTGATTTGATTTTGTTTCATAAAATGTGATAAGATTTGTTGGTTCTTTTATTCAACCTTTTCAATTATTAGCCATAATGTTGTTGACATGAATATTTACACTTTCATCCATTTACATATTTACAACATTTGCAGTCCTACCTCCCCTCGGATACACCAGCTGGACTCAAAAGCTACAGAGACAAAGAGCTGAAAGCCCTTCGAGGCAGCGGCACTGGAGAGCGCAAGCCCTTCGAACGAATCTACGACTACGATGTGTACAATGACCTCGGTGATCCTGATATCCATCCTGATAACGCCAGGCCAGTTCTTGGTGGCAATAAACAGTTACCTTACCCTAGACGTTGCAGAACTGGTCGCCCTAAAACAAAAACTGGTACGTACGTCAGTAGGTCAGTTTTTTTTTATATATATTTAAGACAATTAAGACGAACTCACATATATTAGATGCATATAAGAATAAAAATAAAAAAAATTAATTGATAATCAAAACTCTTAATCAAAAGATAAAAATGAATTGCATATTTAAGTCTGTAATAAAATAAGTAAATCATTTTGAAAAAAAAAATTTGAGAAAAAATAAAATAAAATATTTTTTTAGACTTTTTTTCTAATTTTTTTATTTGGACTACGTTAATTTTACTACTTTTATTATATATTATGTGTTTTTTCTCTATACAACTAAAACATTTTATAATATAACTACATTTAAATAATAAATACAAATAAATTTTATACATTCATAACTATAAATTATTTATCTAATAATTTAATTGAATTTATCATTTAAATTTGACTGTATTATTTGAAAGATTATTGAATAAGGGAATAGTACATAATACATGAAAGAAAAAAAAACTTATATCCAAATATTTTGATATTATACATGTCTTATCATAATGTGATAATTTTTATGGCATATATCATTGATTTAAAGCTTTGTATATTATCTCTAAATATACAGAGCAGAACATGCTCTTTTTTTTAGGGTGGGCAAAATAAGATTATAAAATACATAATTTATACATGAAATAGAAAAAGAAAAAAATTTCTAAAAATTTGAGCAATTGCATTTATTGAAGGTAAGCAAAATAGTTAAAATATTTATTCTTCTAAGAGAAAAAAAGATTTTAAAATAAATACAACAATTTAATTAAAAAATACCATGAATATCTAATATTTAAATTATCTTTATCTAATTTTTTAATTTTATTGAGTAATACTATATGATTAATGACACAAACTACTAAAATAATTAATCTCATTCTCAAAGAAAAAAAAAACAGAATTTTCTGATAAAATTAGTCTAATTAAGATTTTGATAGTGTTTGATGCTCAGTGAATTGATCATTTATTGCATATTGGCACTCAAATTAGATCCGAAAGTGGAGAAGAGGGCAGGGAACTTCTACATACCGAGAGATGAGGCATTCTCCGAGATAAAGCAGGCGCAGTTCTCAGCGAAGACGCTTAGATCAGTGATGCACGCTGTTGTGCCTTCCATTAACTCGGCCTTAGTGGACAAGAACAGAAGCTTTCCTTACTTCACAGCTATAGATTCCCTCTTTGACGAGGGGCTTAATCTCGGCGACCAAGGTGGTAATGCTGGTGGCGCATTCAGCACAGTCATCCCCAGGCTTATTAAGGCTGTCTCTGAAGCTGATGATTTTCTTCTGCGCTTTGAGATTCCGGAGATGATGGAAAGTAAGCTGCACTGTGCTTTTATAATTTCAGCGATATACATATTTATCTCGGTTAGCTAATTACTACCTTTTTCTTACCGTTTGTTCGAATTTATGTTTTCTCTTTTATTGATGCTTTTTTAATGCTTCTTAAAGCAACTTTTAATCATAAAAATTTTAAATTTTGTACTAAAAAACTATTTTAAGAAGCTGGAAGAAAGTTGTCCCAAACCAAGTGTGAATGTAATTATAGGTTTTGTTGATAGAGAACATATTCAAAATTCTAACATCTTTGTTTGATTGATTTTGAGTACAAATATAATATGTTTGAGAGAATATGTTATAATACTAATTATTATAAATTTCTATAATATATATTTGGTACATATATTAAAAAGATATTAATATAATATACTGGTTGTTATTTTTCTCTGTTTAAAGGTTTATGTGATGAGAAATTATTCTGTGCGGAGATCAAACGCAAAACATAGTCCGGAGACCAACTAAAATTTGTCACGTCAGCAGTACCGAGCCACGGTATCAAGCAACGAGTGACGTGAAGCATTCTGGTTGATCTATGGACGGCGTTTAACGTCTGCACATAATAATTAATCTTATTGAGGGTTTTTTTTTTTACTATTTTGTTTTTCAAATCACAACTATAATTTTGTTCAGCTACTATTTTTAAAAAAAAAATATTATGAAAAACTACTTTTATAATTAGAATTACTAATGCGTGACAACTTTTGATATTTTTTAAAAGAATATATTTATAATATTCACAAAAGCTTCACAATCATATTTACAAAATGTTAAACTCATCTAAATCAAAACTTAGATAGGTATTGTCCTATTTTTTTTTTCAGCCTACTCCAATATATAAATTTTAATATTTAATTATTGAGATTGTTAATCAGTTTGCTCTTCTTTTTCTCATGAAATTTGTAGGGGACAAGTTCTCCTGGTTTAGAGATGAAGAATTCTCCAGGCAGACATTAGCAGGCATCAATCCTCTCAGTATCCAGCTGCTCACAGTATGTTAGAAATACATTTTCTTACACACAAATTACCTTGCATGTTATGCTCACAATTAGAGCTAGCTGATCAACCTCTTTGAGGCCAATGTTGTTTCCTGTACTAATCATACATGAAAACAGAAATATTATTTGCGCATATAAACAGATATGATTTCCATGTTAATTAGTATACAAAAACCTCTCAATTCTGAAACTTTTTTATCTACAGGAATTTCCCATTGTTAGCAAACTTGATCCAAAGATCTATGGTCCTGCGAAATCAGGAATAACAAAGGAGATCATTGAACGAGAAATTAGAGGTTACATGACCGTTGAGCAGGTAATATAAACCATTCAGATAAGTTCCACTTTACTGGTAATTATGTGAAAGTTCTATATAAATTTACTTAATCATGCACGCAGGCGTTGAAGGAGAAGAAGCTTTTCATACTAGACTTTCACGACCTCTACCTCCCTTACGTGAACAAAGTGCGAACACTCGAGAATACAACACTATATGGCTCCCGCACCATCTTCTTCCTCAACCCGGACGACACTTTGCGCCCCATTGCCATTGAGCTGACCCGCCCCAAGTCCCCGACGAAGCCCCACTGGAGTCGGGTCTTTGCCAACTCTTGGGATGCCACCGGAACGTGGTTATGGCGACTGGCTAAGGCCCACGTCGGGGCACATGATTCAGGCTACCACCAGCTCGTCAGCCACTGGTTGCGCACCCACTGCTGTGCTGAGCCGTACATCATCGCCGCCAACAGACAGCTCAGTGCGATGCACCCGATCTACCGGCTGTTGTTTCCGCACTTCCGGTACACCATGGAGATCAATGCCCTGGCGAGGGAGTCTCTTATTAATGCCGGAGGGATCATTGAAGGGGGATTCTCGCCGGGGAAGTATTCGGTGGAGCTCAGCTCGGTGGCTTACGGCCAGCTGTGGCGGTTCGACATGGAAGCTCTTCCTGCCGACCTTATCAGAAGGTAAATTTACACATCGTGAGTAGATTTCAATATAGTGTATTTACACATTGTAACCATGTGAAAAACTGATTCCAAATTTGAGTTGCAGGGGAATGGCAGTGGAAGATCCGACGGCGGAGCACGGCCTTCGTCTAACCATCAAAGACTACCCTTACGCCGCCGACGGGCTCCTCATCTGGTCAACCATCAAGCAATGGGTCACCGACTACGTGAACCAGTACTACGAGAGCTCGGCCCAAGTAATCGAGGACCCCGAGCTGCAAGCCTGGTGGGCTGAAATCCGCAACGTGGGCCACGGCGACAAGAAAGACGAGCCATGGTGGCCGGTCCTGAACTCCACCGACTCCCTCATCGGTATCCTCACCACCATCATCTGGACCGTCACCGGCCACCACGCCGCCGTCAATTTCGGCCAATACCACTACGCCGGTTACTTCCCCAACCAGCCCACTACCGCCCGAGTCAACCTTCCGATCGAAGAAGGCGAACCGGCCGACCGGATGACTCAGTTTATGAGCCGGCCGGAGAACGAGCTGCTCAAGTGTTTTCCATCTCAGATGCAGGCGTCAGTCATCATGGCGGTGCTCGACATTCTGTCGAGCCACTCGCCTGACGAGGAGTACCTCGGGGTTGGACCGGAAGCGGCTTATGCGGCCGAACCTGCGGTTCAGGCCGCTTTTGAGCGGTTTAGTGGCCGGCTCAAGGAGATTGAGGGTATTATAGATGGGAGGAACCTGGATGCGGGGTTAAAGAACCGGTGCGGGGCCGGGATCGTGCCCTACGAGTTGCTTAAACCGTTTTCGGAAGCCGGAGTTACGGGTAAGGGAATTCCGACTAGCATTTCTATCTAGGGTTGAAGTCGGTGTAACTCGATTTCCCTGACTCGGTTCATCTTGTCCGGTTTATGTTTGGAGAGATGAGGTGAGGAAAAAAAAACCAAATGGGATAATAAAAAAATAAGAACCGAGAGTTTGTCGTTGAGTGGGTTTAGTCCCAACTCGGTTGTTTCTGATGTTATTATTTGAAGAAACTTTTTTTTTTTTTTCTAATTGGTTGCTTCATTTGGTCTAGCAGTGATTATTTTGAATCTGATTCTAGTTTAGTTTGAAATAGGAATAATTATTAGGTCCGAACACCTGACGTAGCTCTACATCCGGACGCCAAAAACATGTCGCCACGTGCTCTTATTCTTTACCGCGCGGTCCGACGACCCGGACCCGATATTGCTATGTATTGACTGATTTGTGCAGACCGAGATATTACTATGTATTGCTCGGTATTGGCCGGCAATAACTAGAAATACCAATCTGTCAAGACTAATACCGAGTAATAACTAGCAAAACTAGCAATACCCCGGTTTTGCTAGGTATTGTTCGGTATTGCTTGGTATTGCTAGGTATTGGTCTTGACAGAGCGGTATTCTCGTTATTGTCAAGCAATACCTAGCAATACCAAGCAATACGTAGCAATACCCGAACATAGCAATACCGGGTTCCGCTCTGGGTCGGGTCGTCGGGCCCGCGGTAAAGAGTAAGAGCACGTGACGACATGTTATTGGCGTCCGGATGTAGAGCTACGTCAGGTGTCCAGACCTAATAATTATTCTTGAAATAGAGGGATAAAATGTCATAATTATATATATATATATATATATATATATAAAGTAATTTGTGTCAAAAAATTTAATTGATTTATTTTCAATTTCGGGGGCCTTCATCTCAATCTTTAGAGAAATCTGCTCGAGTGTTATCTATAAGAGGGAGAGAATCAAAGATGAATGAATTCAAATTCATCTAAACCAATTGTCTCTATGACTCAATCAAATGATCAGTCATTGTGCCTCTATGATTTGTCTCTTCCTCAATAATTTGTCTCTTCTCTAGACCTCAATGATTTGTGCCTCAATTTGTACACTCAATGTTGGATGTGCTGGATTAAAAGAGTCTATGTGCTACTATGAACTAAGCTCAACCAAGTTACCAAGCAATTGAATTAGCTCATCTCAAAGTTGAAGTTAGACTAGCTCGAAGTTGAAGCGCTAGAAGACACGATGAACTTGTTAGCGATGTTCCCAGTTCAAATTGTCAAGGCCTCAGTACATTATTCATCATTTAAACTTAGCTATTTTTTTACCCATTTCTACAGTATATAGTCGAATCACAAAAGAGTTCTATTTGGCCCCAATATTAGGCTTCTTTTTGGACGGCTTTCTTATTGCTTTCTAAAGCAGATTTTTAGTAATAAATTTCTTAAAGTAGAAATTTTTGAACTAAAAATCTGCTTTAAAAAGTAGTAAGAAAATTATCTCAAATGAAATCTCACTTTAAATTATGAATTAGGCCAATATCAAAGTCACCAAGTATACGAAGCTACTCACCAGCTCACCATGATGTTGACCTAGACTTCATGAGAAAAAAAAAGCATCATTGTTAAGGATTTTGTTCTTTAATAAGATCACATCAATAGCTATTCTTATAATTATATAACTAAAAGTTAATTTGAATATTTCATTTTTTGTAGCAATCACAATTAAACATTTCTTCTAATTGTATTCTTATATATCACTCAAATGTAGCCTCTTGTGTAGCAGCAAATCTCAACACAAACCAATGGATAAGAGGTCACATGATGAGCCAAAAACATACTAGTTAACTTGAATCATAACATCTTGTATTTTCTAATAAAATCAGGTAAAATCCCAAGGCTTCTATTTATACTTATCTCTTTTTCTAAGTTTTTTTAATAAATGTTAGTGAAATTATGGTATTATTCATTAAAAAATTTGCACTTGCGAATATAGATTTAAAATATATTATTTAATGCAATGTGTGTTCGATATGGTAGTCAACCCTAATTCAACTATATCAAATACTAAACTAAAAATACTTAAAATATATAAACAAAAAACAAAAAAAATGCTCAAATAGATAAGCTAAAAATACACATTCCAAAATTTTTTGAGGATTTTGTTGGGTGAATCAGTTGAGGAAAACACTAAACCACATATTTAAAAGGAAGCCAATTTGTCTATCATCCTATGCAAGCCAATCAGTCTCAAGTCAACATCAACGAAACAAGCATTTTACTTATTTTTCTCACATATTAATATCACATTTTTTAACAGTAATAATGACCAACTTTTACTCAATCACATATATATATATTCTTTCACAATGCTTGCATTAATAATTGGCTTAAATAAAAATATTTACTTCTATTAAAAAATTATATAAAATTTAATAACTTCTATTTTACAAGATTGTTGTAGACTAGAATATACGCAGCGATAGAGTTAGAAAATTTTTGTCTCAGTGTTGTACGGATATCTAGCACACAAAGAGGAGAGAAATAAAGACAGCCGAATTTTTACGTGGAAAATCCTGGAAAGGGAAAAAACTACAGGGTCACGCCCAGTTGAAAAAGTTATACTAGTATTTGCTTGATATACAATGATTTGCTTCCGGATTGAACTCCAGTTACACACAAGTTGTTGTAACCGAGTTGAATTCATAGTCACTTAGAATTCTGGCATCCCTTGGAAATTGGACGTAGTTTTAGCGTCACTTGAATGTTAGGCAAAATTCCGACGTCACTGTGGCGTCAGGTAGAACTCCGGCGTCACTTAGGTGTTGTGCAGAACTCCGATGGTGGTCGAGGAGGAGTTTCTTCCCCCCTATCCTTCTCTTCTTCTTCTTGTTTGGGTCCCCTTTCAAGAGAAATGAGGGGTATATTTATAGATTTTTGGATTGACATGGCACGTAAATAGGTGATAGATCAGGGGCAAATGTGGAGTGGTTCGATAGACGACCGATATTGAATCCCTTGATCGTGAACCATTCGTAAAAAAATTGGATATCTTAATGATGTTGGAATTTGGAGATATTGGTCATGTTGGATTTGACTCGTCAAGCCGCTCAATTCGACTATAAGCACGTCATGTTTGGAAACTGTTTGGTAACTCAAATTGTGGTTTGAACATTCCAACAACGCTTGAGGTCCTTAATTTGGACTCATTTGGGCTCGGATTGAGTCGAATTTGGTGTCGTTGAGTTTGTATTTCTGAGACACTCAGTTTGACTTTAAGTTCATTGAAATTGGAGTTTAGGTAATCCTGAATTTAATTTTTTAAGTTTCTCGCGCGCGCACACACACACACATGTCAATATTCGACACGACCCGAAACACGACCCGAAAAAGACAGAAAAATCTATGTTCGGGTTGACCCGGGTAGAAAACAGGTTGTGTTCAGGTCTAAGAAAATGACCCATTTTTTATTTCGGGTCAACCCGAAAACACGAGGTTGTCCCGATTTCAACCCGAATTTATTTTACTCGTCGGTCGAGTTCGTCGCTACATTCGCTCGGACGGCTCGAGTTTGCGGTGTCAAGGACTCAATGCTTAAATAATTACTTGACTTCGAGTTACTTCAACTTCTACATTTCTGCCATTTGGTTCTGCGTGCGGCGTACCCTAGTTTTCCATCTTTCATCTTCCTTCTCCCGTTCCCCGTGCTTTAGCAGTTATTGTTAGATCAATTTTGCAAGAATCACATGTGATGAATTCTGATTTTAAGTCTCCTTCTCCCCTTGAAGTCTCGTTCAGTCGTTCTCTTCTCTCCCCAGTCCCCATGTCGTTATTTATCGAGAACAGGAATTTTCTTTTGATCATTTGGTTATAATGTTTAGATATGATTATTACTTGGAAAATGACAAGATTTTTTTTTTTGTTTATTATGAGTTTAGGGTTTCTCAAGTAGAAACCCTAGGTGATGTCGTGAAGGTTTCGTGATTAGTAAACCCTATATTTGATTATCACTTATTTCCTTTTATTCTGTAATCTGTACGAATTTTCAATATTTTATTTATGTTTGAATTATTTGATTACATTATTAACATTTAACAATATTTGAGTTAAAGTGTTTAACCGAAATCCCTTTCACCCTTCTTCGTCTGTTATTCGCAGTGTGTTCATCGTCGTCGTCGTTATATAATTGATTTTAGGCTTTTTGCTTTGTTTAAGAGTATAAGTTATTTCTTGTTGACTTGTGGTTATGGCTGTGGACCTGTGGTCCTATGGAGTGTGGACTGAATTTTATTTGATCGTAGGCTTTTAGCTGTTACCGTTTCACGTTTGCTACTTTGCTAATTGCTGTGCTGCTGTAATGCTGTGGTCCTGGGGTGTGTGGCTGTGTGGACTGAAGAAAACATGTGGTCGTTTACTCCTGTAGGCTGTAGCCTTGGCCCTTGGGCTTTTAGCCTTTTAGATTAAACATTAAAATGTTAATGTTGTTATTTGTTAACTTGTTATTTTACATTTGTCATAATTTTTTATACATTGTTGTTGTTGGATGATGGAGCCATGTATAATGTATTACAATATTAGTTTGTGTCTTTGTGATTGAATAGTTGTTTCTATAATGTTGTTGTTCAATAGATGGATGATTCTAACAAAGTGGTAGAAAGTACTCCATTCATTGAGAATGTTGAAGTAGGAAATGCTCCTATTTCAGTTGACAATGAAAAAGATGATGATGATTTCTGTAATGTTATTGAAAAAGAAGGAGATGACCCGTCATCCATTAAGAAAAGACGAAGAATGTGTTCAACGGTTTGGGTTATTATGAGATGTTGCCCCTTCCTAATGATGGCAAGCAGAGATGTAAATATAGAAGATGTGGGGCAATATATCAGTGTGATAGCAAGTATGGTACTGGCAATTTAAGACGTCATATACAAAATTGTAAAAAAAGAGACACTCGTGACATTGGGCAACTTATTCTACAGTCAAATACTACTTCAACTATCTCTATGACTAAATCTACGTTTGACATACTAGTTAACTTGAATCATAACATCATGTAATTTCTAATAAAATCAAGTAAAATCCCAAGGCTTCTATTTATCCTTCTCTCTTTTTCTAAGTTTTTTTAATAAAATTTAGTGAAATTATGGTATTATTCATAAAAAAATTTGCACTTGCTAATATAGATTTAAAATATATTATTTAATGCAATGTGTGTTTGATATGGTAGTCAACCCTAATTCAACTATATCAAATACTAAACTAAAAATACTTAAAATATATAAACTAAAAACTAAAAAAAAATGCTCAAATAGATAAGCTAAAAATACACATTCCAAAAAATTTTGAGGATTTCATTGGGTGAATCAGTTGAGGATAACACTAAACCACATATTTAAAAGGAAGCCAATTTGTCTACCATCCTATACAAGCCAATCAGTCTCCAGTCAACATTAATGAAACAAGCATTTTACTTATTTTTCACACATATTAATATCACATTTTTTAACAGTAATAATGACCAACTTTTACTCAATCACATATATATATTCATTCACAATGCTTGCATTAATAATAGGCTTAAATAAAAATATTTACTTCTATTAAAAAATTATATAAAATTTAATAACTTCTATTTTACAAGATTGTTGTGGACTAGAATATACGTAGCGATATAGTTAGAAAATTTCCGTCTCAGCGTTGTACGGATATTTAACACACAAAGAGGAGAGAAATAAAGACACCCAAATTTTTACATGGAAAATCCTGGAAAGGGCAAAAACTACAGGGTCACGCCCAGTTGAAAAAGTTATACTAGTATTTGCTTGAGATACAAGAGTCTGTCTCGTCCTTAGAATTTAGGACAATCATATTACAATGATTTACTTCCGGATTGAACTCCAGTTACACACAAGTTGTTGTAATCGAGTTGAATTCAGAGTCACTTAGAATTCCGGCGTCACTTGGAAATCGGGCTTAGTTTCAACGTCACTTGAATGTTAGGCAAAATTTCGATGTCAGGTAGAATTCCGGCATCACTAGGGCGTCAGGTAGAACTCCGGCATCACTTGGGTGTTGGATAGAACTCTGATGGTTGTCGATAAGGAGTTTTTTCCCTCCCGTCATCCTCTTCTTCTTCTTGTTTGGGCCCCCTTTCAAGAGAAATGGGGGGTCTATTTATAGATTTTTGGATTGACATGGCACGTAAATAGGTGAGAGATCAGGGGCAAATGTGGAGTGGTTCGATAGACGCCCAATATTGAATCCCTTGATCCTGTACCATTCGTAAAAAAATCGGATATCTTAATGATGTTGGAATTTGGCGATATTGGGCACGTTGGATTCAACTCATCAAGCCGCTCGATTCGACTATATGCACGTCATGTTTGGAAACCGTTTGGTAAATCAAATTGTTGTTTTAACATTCTAACAGCGCTTTGGGTCCTTGATTTAGACTCATTTGAGCTCGAATTGAGTCGAATTTGGTGTCGTTGACTTTTTATTTTCGAGACACTCAGTTTAACTGTAAGTTCACTGAAATCGGAGTTCAAGTGATCCCGTATTTAAATTTTTAAGTAGTCGGCTTGATTTTGCCTCAAGATTCGTGTCCGATCAAGATAATTTTTTGATGATATATCACACACACATGCACACACGCACGCACCACGCACACACGCACGTACACACGCACGCACCACGCACGCACCACGCACACACGCATGCACACACGCACGCACCACGCACACACGCA